TGAGCCTGAGTAGTAACAGACAAATTGGAATTATTTCTCCAAAGAGGAAGCTAATGAAATAACAATAAGTGATATGCCATTAATGACAAAGGCAACAGAGACAAGGCTTGATGTTTTTATTTAAAAAAAATAAAAATAAAATACCTTACACACAAACCAACCACAGGGATTAATGAACAAGACAACTTTATTCTTGTGTCTGCTGCACACACAATTAACACACAACTTTGTCTGCTTCCAAAAGTCCATTCAGGTCTGCTCCGGTTGTGTCTCCTCTGTCATGTGTGTCGGCCTCGAGGTCCAGCCCACTACTGCCTTAAAAGAGGTGAGAGTGATGACTTCATGAGTACCAGTTGAGATAATCAACTCACCTGGCGCTGCTCTCAGAAGCCTTCGCCACACCTCTCTCTCCTGCAGCTGAGTGCAAACCACACCCACCTCCACAGGTACAAAATAAAGTGCGTTAAGCGTATACACTAGTGGTACAATATCCCGCCACAGAGCCCAGATGACCAAAAATAAATGTATTTTCTATAGACATTTGCAGTGTGTGCATACAACTGATTATCAAGTATACTGTATATCTCAGTAAAGCCTTACAGTAATTAACCAGAAAAAACTCAGATAATGCAGATAACAGAGGTGTAGACAATACAGTATCAACTCAAAAGCAGCTGCAGCAAAAAACAACAACATTAAAGCAAAGAGACACAGTATTTGCACACCTCATTGTGCACACACAAACAATGCTAAGTTTCTACAGAACAGTGATTGTTTTCCTCTGTTCACAATACTTTTACCTGTTTTGCAAATATATTAGCAGGACTGCCATATTAGTAGTCAGTAGATTAGCTGAACAAATTTATTTTGTTTCTGTCAGTAACAGATGCAACATATGTGATCCTGCTCTACAAGGTTTCTGAAAAATGTATTAGGTTGTGTAAGAATGATTAAACAACGCCCAAATTATATTTTATAATGTTCCATAAATTAAGTGAAACAGTGAAATGCACAATGGGCATTTTCACACTTGTGATGATAAAATGAATTGGTTTGAGCTCATTCAGAAAATTCTAAAAACATGTCAGACTTTGTCAGTCCTGTACTTATTTCCATTGTACAGTCAGTGACACTGTTAGCAACAGATGCCCAATCCCAATGTCCACATTCACAGACTCACAGACTTTGAGGGCTGCCCCATTGTGAAATCTTCAAGTGCATTAACCCTTTATTCGTAAGTCTGCATTTCTGCAGGCTTTGCCTGAGGGGAATTACCCACTCTTCATGGTGATTTTATTCAATTCCATTCAATTAAATTTTATTTGTATAGCGCCAATTCATAACAGAAGTTATCTAAGGACACTTTTCAAATAGAGCAGGTCTAGACCAAACTCCTTATAACATTTAAGCACCTAAAACTGCTGCCCCAGCAACAACAACTGCAGCCCCAACAACAAAGGCTGGCCCAACAAAGCCTGCAGCCCCAAAAAACTGAAGCACCAACAACAACGAATGCAGTCCTAACAACAACAACTGCAGCACCAACGACGACTGCACCCCCGATGACAAAAACTGCAGCACCAACAACGACTGCTGCCCCAAAAGAAACCACTGCAGCAAAAATGACAACTGCAGCCCCAACAACCACTGCAGCACCAACGACAAAAACTGCAGCCCCAACGACAACAACTGCAGCCCCAACAACCACAGCTACCCCAACAACAACAGCTGCCCCAACAACGACTGCTGCCTCAACACAATTGCAGCCCCAACGACGACTGCACCCCACAACAACAACTGCAGCACCAACGACGACTGCAGCACCAACAACAACAACTGCAGCCCCAACGACTGCAACCCCAACTACAACTGCTGCCCCAACAAAAACTGCAGCCCCACGTACAACTGATGCCACAAGGACTGGTGCACCAAAAACAAAAGCTGCCCCAACAACTACTGCTGCCTCAACAACAACCAATGCTGCCTCAACAACAACTGTTGCACAAACAACACTGCACCCCAACAACTGCAGCCCCAGCAACAACTGCAGCCCCAATGAAGACTGCACCCCCGACGACAACAACTGCAGCCCCAAAAACTGCTGCACCAACAACTGCTGCCCCAACTACAACTACTGCCTCAACAGCAACCGCAGCACCAACAACGACTGCTGCCCAACAACTCTACCCCAACAACAACACTGCCCCAACAAACTGCTGCCCAATCTACAACTGCTGCACCAACAAAAACAACTGCTGCCCCAACAATAATTGCTGCCCCAACAACGACTGCTGCCCCACCTAAAACTGCTGCCCCAGCAACAACAACTGCAGCCCCAACAACCAGTGCTGCCCTAACAAAACACTGCCCCAACACACTGCACCCCACAACTACAACTGATACAACAACAAACTGCAGCACCAACAACAACAACTGTAGCCCCAACAATACAACCCGAACTACAACTGCTGCCCCAATAACAACAGCTGCCCCAACAACTACTCTTTCTCAACAACAACCACTGCTGCCTCAACAACAACTGTAGCACCAACAACGACTGCAGCCCCAACAACTGCAGCCCCAAAAAACTGCAGCCCCAACAACCACAGCAGCCCCAACAATCACAGTAGCCCCAACACACTGCACCCCGACAACAACAACTGCAGCACCAACAACAACACTGCAGCACCAACAACAACTCACCAAAACCCCCCCAACTATAAGTCCAAACAACAATGCTGCCCCAATAACACTGCTGCCCCAACACAACTGCAGCCACAACAATACTCTCCCCAACTACTACACCCAACTAAAAGTCCATGACCAGGCCCCAAATTTGGGCCAGTATCATCTGGGGGACAAAGTCTCATAGGGTTAACCCCCATGGCTCATGGACTAAACAACTGCATCACCAACAACACTTCTCAAAACAACTGCTCAACATATGTTGCCCCAGCACTACTGCTCCAAAAAACTGCAGCCCCAACCACAACAACTGCTGCCAACAACAACACTGCAGCAACACCACTGTTCCCCACACAACAAAAAAAAACCAACCCCAACCACAACAACTGCTGCCCTAACAACCACTGCACAACAACACACTCTGCCCAAAGTACACTGCTATGCCAGCATCAACAACTGCAACCCAACAACAAATACTCACAACAACAACTACACTGCATCCGACGACAACAACTGCAGCACCAACACCTAACAATAACCACACACCCCAACAACAATTCTTCAACAAATGCCCCCAACAACAACTCTGCCACAAACTGGTGCACCAAAACAACTGCTCACAACAGCTACGCTCCTCAACAACAAACACTGCTCCCAACAAAACTGCACCACAAACACTGCAGCCCAACAACTGCACACCAGTAACAACTCAGCCCCAACAACAACAACTGACCCCAACAACTCTCACAACAACCTCAACACAACTGCAGCCAACACAAAGCCCCACAACACGAGCAACAACCACTGCGCACCAAAACTGCCCCCAAGACTACCTCCAACAAACTGCTCCCAAACAACACACTGCCCACACCTGCCAACAACACAAACCCCAACAACAACAACTGCAGCCAAATACACAATTGCAGCCCCAACAACACTGCAGCCCCAACAACAAGTACTCACCAACACTCTCCCCACACAACTCTGCCCCAACAACACTCAACAAAACAGCTGGCCCAACACTGCGCCCCAACAACACTGAAGCCCCAACAACAACAATCACCAACAACAAAACTCAGCCAAATACAGCAATTGCAGCCCCAAAACACTGCAGCCCCAACAACAACTACTCACCAACGACTCTTCCCCAACACTGCTGCCCAACAACAACTCTGGCCCAACACTCTGCCCACACAACTCTGCCCCAACTACAACTGCTGCCACAACCAGTATCTCGCCAAAACCACTACTTCTGCCTCAACAACGACTGTTGCCCCAAAAACTGCTGCCCCAACAAAAACAGCTGCCCCAACAACAACAGCTGCCCCAAAAATTGCAACACCAACAACAACAACTGCAGCCCTAAGAACAACTGCTGCACCAACAACTGCTGCCCCAACTACAACCGCTGTCCCAACAACTACAGCTGCCTCAACAATGACTGCTGCCCCAACTACAACTGCAGCCCCAACAACGACTGCTGCCCCAACAATGACTCCTGTCAAAACTACAACTGCTACAACAGCAACAACAACAACAGCTGCCTCAAAAACAACTGCAGCCCCAACGACGACTGCAGCACAAACGACAACTGCTTCCCCAAGTACTACTGCTACCTCAGCAACAACTGCAGCCCCAACAAATACTGCAGCCCCAACAACAACTACTGAAGCACCGACAACAACAGACCCAACAACAACAGCTGCCCCACTAACGACTGCTGCCCGAACAACAACTACTGCACCAACGACTGCTTCCCCAACGACTGCTGCCCCAACTACAACTGCTGCCCCAACAACAACTGCTGCCACAAGTAATATTGCTGCCTCAACAACAACCACTGCTGCCTCAACAACAACTTCAGCACAAACAACGACTGCAGCCCCAACAACGGCAGCACCAGTAACAACTGCAGGCCCAACAACGACTGCACCCCCGACGACAACAACTGCAGCACAAACAACGACTGCTGCCCCAGCAACAACTCACAAAACAAACTGCCTCAACAACAACTTCAGCACAAACAACGACTGCTGCCCCAACTACAACTGCTGCCTCAACAGCCACTGCAGCACCAACGACTCCTGCCCCAACAGCTGCTGCCCCAACAACGAATGCTGCCCCATATACAACTGCTGCCCCAGCAACAACAACTGCAGCCCCAGCAACAACTGCTTCCCCAACAACGACAACTGCACCAACGACTGCTTCCCCAACGACTGCTGCCCCAACTACAACTGCTTCCCTAACTACAACGGCTGACACAACCACTACTTCTGCCACAACCACTACTTCTGCCTCAACAACAACTGCAGCACGAACAACGACTGTTGCCCCAACAACAACTACAGCCCCAACTATGACTGCACCCACGACGACAACAACTGCAGCCGCAACAACTGCTTCCCCAACCATAACCACAGCAGCCCCAACAAAAACAACTGCAGGCCAAACGACACCAATTGCAGCCCCAACAACGACTGCAGCCCTAACAACAACTGCAGCCCCAACAACAACTACTGCACCAACAACTGCTTCCCCAACGACTGGTGCCCGAACTACAACTGCTGCCCCAACTACAACTGCTGCCCCAACTACAACTGCTGCCACAACCACTACTTCTGCCACAACCACTACTTCTGCCTCAACAACTGCTGCACCAAAAATGCTGCAGCACCAAAAACAACAACTGCAGCCCCATCTAAAATTGCTGCCCCAGCACAAACAACTGCAGCCCCATGACACTGACAACAAAAACTGCAGCACCAACGACAATTGTTGCAAGCAACTGCACACAACTGTCCCCACAAAAACGACTCTCCCAACAACAACTACTGCCCCAGCAACAACAACTGCTGCCCCAACGACGGCTGCACCCCGATGACAACAACTGCAGCACCAAAACAACAACTGAAACCCCAACTACAACTGCAGCCCCCAAAAAAACTGCTACCCCAACTACAACTGCTGCCCCAGCAACAACAGCTGCTAAAATGACTGCTACCCAACTACAACTTCCCCAGCAACAAAATTGCTGGCCCAACCACAACAACTGCAGCCCCAACAACAACAACTGCAGGCCCAACAACAACAGCTGCCTCAACTACAACTGCAGCCCAAACAACAACAACTGCAGCCCCAATGACGACTGCACCCCCGATGACAACTATAGCAGCACAAACAATGACAACTGGAGGCCCGACAACAACAGCTGCCCCAACAACGACTGCTGCCCGAACAACAACAGCTGGCCCAACAACTGCTGCCCCAACAACGTCTGCAGCCCAAACAACAACAATTGCTGCCCCAACTACAACTGCAGCCCCGACAATAACAACTGCTGCCCCAACAATGACTGCTGCCCCATCTTAAACTGCTGCCCCAGCAACAACAACTGCAGCCCCAACAACTGCAGCCCCAACAACAACTGCAGGCCCAACCATAACAACTGCTGCCCCAGCAAAAACAACTGCAGCCCCAATGACGACTGCAGCCCCTATGACAACAACTGCAGCACCACCAACAACAACTGCCACAACAACAGCTGCTGCCCAAACAACAACTGTGGCCCCAAGAACGACTTCTGCCCAAACAACAACAGCGGCCCCAACAACTGCGGCCACAAAAACAATAACTGCAGGCCCAACAACTGCTTCCCCAACAACACCAACTGCTGCCACTACAATGACTGCTGCCCCAACTGCAACTGCTGCCCCAACAACGACTGCTGCCCCAACAACTGTCGCCCAAACGACTGCTGCCCCATACAACAACTGTAGCCCCGACTACAAGAACTAAAGCACTAACAACAACTGCAGCCCCAACTACGAGTGCAGCCCCGACTACAACAACTCAAGCACCAACGACTGCTGCCCCAACAACAACAGCTGCCCCAACGACTGCAGCTCCAACAACAACTGCAGCCCAAACAACAACTGCTGCCCCAATTACAACTGCACCCCTGATGACAACAACTGCAGCCCTGACCACAACGGCTGCCCCAACAACGACTGCTACCCCAACTACAACTGCTGCCACAACAACAACAACTGCAGCCCTAACGACAACAACTGTAGCCCCAATGACAACTGCCGCCCTAACAACTTCAGCCCCAACGACGACTGCAGCCCCTACGACAACAACTGCAGCACCAACAACAACAACTGCAGCCCCAACAACAACTGCTGCCACAACAACAACTGCTACCCCAACGACAGCTGCCCCAACAACACCTGCAGCCCCAACGACGACTGCAGCCTCGACGATGCCTGCAGTCCCCACGACAACAACTTCTGCCCCAACAACTGCAGCCCCAACAACAACTGCTTCCACAACAACTACAACTGTTTTTCCAACAATTGCTTCCCCAACAACAACTGTAGTCCCAACAACAACTGCCGTAACAATATCTGCCACCCCAACAACTACAACTGCCGCCCCTACAACAACTGATACCTCAACAACAACTGCTGTGCCTACAACTACAACTCTGTCTCCAACAACGACTGCAGCCCCAACAACAAATGCAGCTCCAACAACAATTGCTGCCCCAACCACTGCTGCCCCAACAACAACAGCTGCCCCAACAACAACTGCTGCCCCAAAAACAACTGCAGCCCCAACGACGACTGCAGCACCGACGACAACAACTGCAGCAGCTCCAACGACTACTTCCCCAACTACAACTGCTGCCATGACAACTGCTGCCCCAGCAACAACAACTGCAGCGCCAACAACAACTGCAGCCGCAACGACGACTGCAGCACCCACGACAACAACTGCAGCACCAACAACAACTGCTACCCCAACAACGACAGCTGCCCCAACAACAACACCTGCAGCCCCAACGACGACTGCAGGCTCGACGACAACTGCAGTCCCAAGGACAACAACATCTGCCCCAACAACAACAACTGCAGCCCCAACAATAACTGCTTCCACAACAACTACAACTGTTTTTCCAACAACTGCTTCCCCAACAACAACTGTAGTCCCAACAACAACTGCTGCAACAATATCTGCCACCCCAACAACAACCTCTGCCCCAATAACTACAACTGCCGCCCCTACAACAACTGATTCCTCAACAACAACTGCTGTGCCTACAACTACAACTCTTTCTCCAACAACAACGACTGCAGCCCCAACAACGACTGCAGCCCCAACAACAAATGCCGCCCAAAAAACTACAACTGTTGCTCCACTGGGTATTATCCATCTGCTTCTCGGACTCCTTATCTGTACCCTCTGGTAAGAACAATCTTTGTAGAAGTACCATTGAAGCCATACTGAAAACTCTGAAATTACCTTTTGAATCATGTGGTTTACTGCCGTCTTTATTAGGCAGTTACAGGGGCTAGAAAAACAAAATTTATGATAAGAGGGGATGGAGTCTGGGTGAAGACACACAAGTGAACTTTTTTGTATACTATTATCGGGAAAGCAGTTTAATGTCCAGAATACACCATGTGGGGTATAATGAGGAGACTTTTTTCAGAGCTTCAGTTATCAAAAAAATCTGTGGCCTGTCAGGCTTGATTGATAGGAATGGTGTAAGTGATCATACAAAAATATAAATGTTCTATAAGTAGTATATGAAATAAGTTATAATAAGTAAATTGCACTGTATTGTTTGTCACATATTGAGCATTGAAGTTAATTAGGTCTGAATATAATTATATTTAATGTATTATGATTATATATATATAAACATTTTGCTCTTTCCTTTTCTTCTTTTTTTCATAATAAATATGTATTTCAGTAGTTTTATTTAATTTGATGATTCAACTATTTACAGTGTATTTGTTTGTCACATATTTCACATTTACATTCTATAATTAGTATACTTTATATACATTGCATGATACATTGATTGTATTCTGTTCTTTGTTGCATCTCACAAATATGTGTTTGAGTAGTTTTACTTAATTATATCTACTGTACTGTACTATTATAACCTGTCTAATAAAGCTTTTTTGATGACAACATTTTGAATAACTTTGGCTTAGGCCTTAAAAATCAAACCCAATCAGACACCACAGACTTGGTTGTGGAGTGTAGGGACAGCATGAGGAAATGTGTCAAGGGGTGCCCAAAACAGACCAACAACCCATTATGACAATGTTAGGGCGGACCTATTGGTGCTTTTACCCCAGTAATAGAACTTTTACTTAATTGAAGTGGCGGTCCAGTCTGAGAGACTAAGGGGAAATGACACAAAGTTGAAGTTTTATAAACCTAAAAAGGTCTGGGCTTTTGAGAAAACATTTGGGATTGGAGCCCAGTTCACTGATGCATCAAATAAAACAACAAAGACTTGTTACTTTGTAAAAGTGATTAAAAGTCATCCAAATTATATTATATGACAATATTCCACAAATAAAGAAGAACACAGTTAAAATGCACATTGGTCAGTACCCTATACACATTCCAGAATCTATATTTCTTTATTTTTTACAACACTTTTGCTGATAAAATCAATCGTTTTTGGTTTATTGAGAACATTCTAGTATATTTATAAAAATATCACAATTCTTCACTGTCAGGGATATACAAATTTTGTCTTTTTCTATTGTAGTCAGCGGTGTTCACACAGTCCAAGATGTGCTAAAAAATTAGACCAACTGAACTAGACAACTGAATCGTATTGTGGCAGTACCGAACCCCAAGTCTCAACACAGGTGAATAATGATTGTCGTCCTGTAACTTTGACCTCTATTGTCATGAAATGTTTCGAGAAATTTGTAGTATCCCTGCTCAAGAAAGTAGTCGAGCCAGACGTAGACACATGGCAATTTGCCCATAAGCAGAAATGCAGCACTGAAGATGCCATCCTCTGCATTTCGCACTTTATTTCTAAACACCTTGAGAACACAAAATCCTATGCTAGAATTGTATTTATTGATTTTAGTTAATTACAGTCCAACCTATCTTATTGTTTTTTAATAGGACACAACAAATAAAAGTAATGAGACATTGTCAAAGACCCAACGTAGTGATACAGCGGCCCCACAAGGTTGTGTGGCATCACCTTTTTTTAACTGTACACTAATGACTGCAGGAAAGCAATCATATCATGCTGATGTTTTACAGGGCGATCCCAGAGAGCATCATTAGATATGGAATCAAAGCAGGGTTTGGCAACTTAACAGTGTACCTGAAAAACAGGTTGGCCAGCATGCACAAAATAGCTATGAGGATATTAGGGAGGAAATAATATGAGCCCATACAGAGCCCGTATGAGCACACAGTCATGAAACAAGCAGCAAAAATCATTGTGGACCCTCAAAATGCCCTCTTCTCTGAAAATGAACCTCTGCCATCAAGAAAAAGACTCTGTGTGCCAAAGTGCAAATCAAACAGACTAAAGTTATCATTTGTCCCGACTTCTATCAAGCTGGTGAACTCTAATACTTAATCAGTGTGTAATAAACAAACCAGCACTGAAGCACTTTAATTCTTATAGTTTCTTACAGTCTCTTTTTAAGCTGCTGTATTATCAGTGTTAAAATGTATAGTGTCTTTTATCTTTTAAGATGCTTCATGTTGATTTTGTGATGGGTTTCTGTGAAGCAACAGATTGTAGCACTGTACCCAAGACACTTTTTCCCTATTTCAGTGAAATACTGCGAAGGTATGTGTCCTTTCCGGAGATGGTTGACTCGAGTCAGACTTAAGTCACCAGATTTAGACTTGACTTAGACTTGCATGAACTGACCCAACAAGTCATTGCTATCTTTATTAATATGTATATATTTTTTTTCCTGTTTCATGTGGGCGAACCTGGCAACCTGTAATCTAACCAGAAATACTTTAATAATCCCTGTGGGGAAATTATTAAAGTATAACCAAGTGACTCACCTATCACTAACTGCAGCGGTTGTAGAGAGGCCGGAGCGGAGCACTTGGACGATGGAACAGGAAGGCGCTGCTGGCACTGCAGCTGTTCCCAAAATTATAAACACAGACACGGGAGCTCCGGGTTGACATTGAGATAGTGGTCTTTATTTTACTACTGCATCCGCGCGCGCACACTTTCTTTCTCTCGTTCGCTCACTCTCGCTCGTCCACTCACACCATACGCACATACACACATTCTGAGACTTGCTTGAGACTTGCACATGTGTGACTTACTCCCACCTCTGGTCCTTTCTGACAGCATTATCAAACTGCACTTAATAATCTGCAACTCACAACTCTAATTTAGTACAGCCTTTTATGTTGTAGCTGGTAAAGGTGGAATTACAGTTTTAATTTAAACTGATTCATACCGCTAATATGGGGATTGTTATAAGATAGTACAGGTAAGGAAACACAAGGAAAATCAACAAGGCAGTTCAAAGTTACATAAGACATTAAGGCGTAAACACAAGATATCAAAGAAACACAGAAAGCAGTAACAAACACTACAGTCTGTATAATTTATTGTTGAATAGAGTGTAGATGGGTTGCCAGTTACACTGCATTCCAGAGAAAAACAAGAAACACGTGAAGAACGGGACATCATAATAATGTGTGAGTAAGGACATGCCAATGTGAGACAGTTACCTCCCTGTCAGAACAATGTATAAAACAATGACATGATCAATGCTTTAAGCATCAAGAACATTTCAATGATGCATCAAATAAAACAACAAACAAACTTTAATAAAAAACTAACTGCTGTGTATTCCTGCTACTATGTAAAAATTACCAATTTTATTATATGATAATATTCTATAAGGGAAGCTGAAGAAGAAAAACTGGTTAGTACCACATACACTTTTATACTATAATTGTATAACTTTTTATACTTTTGATCATAAAATTAATTGGTTTTGGTTTATTGAGAAGATTTTAATATATTTATAACATTCTCAGACTTTGTGAGGGATATTAAAATTAAGTCTGTTTCCATTGTTGACAGTCCACTGACTTTTATCAAGATGTAGACAGTAACAATATCTAAATAACATAATAATAATAATAATAATAATAATAATAATAATAATAACAATAATAATAATAATAATACACTTTATTATATAGCATGTTTCTAAACAATGTTACAAAGTGCTGTACAAAGAAAATTAAACAATTAAAAATCAAGCAAGGCAGATAAAATGTCAATGTATAAATCTACATGGACTTTATCCCAATGTGATGCATCCTGCACCTCAATTGCTCAGCTCCAGAAGTTGAAGTCCTCTCCACTTTGTGTTATAAAGGATTACCACAACTATTTATAGCAACCGACAACCCATTATCAATATCATTTCTAGAAAAAGAGTGAAACTGTATACAGTGAAAATGCACATTGGTCAGAACCATATTCACTTTCCAAAAGCTAATTATTTCTAATTATTTTGCAGATGACATTTATTGAAATCATACTTGTTTAAATATTGAAATGAGCTATTTCTATTTCACAGAACTGAAATTAAAAATGGGTGTGGGAAGGTGTGTCGACGTGATAATTTTCCAACTAACAAAAGATTTAGTGAATGTCTAAATAGTGACACATTAAAAATAGGAACACACCCAATCCCTGAAGCTTTTAGGCATGCAACTGTCATAAATATGTTAAACACCTGTGCAGTATATAAAGTGCAGCGGCACTGAGTGTAGTATCACCACCCAGGAAAACTAATCTACACTATTTACCTGTTCATCATGATGAAGCTGATCCTTTCTCTGACTCTGATCTGGGCGCTCTCCAGCACAGGTAACCCCATTTATTCTTACTTTATAGTTTCTGCAGGTAATACAGAGCACTATTTAAAGAAATTTCTCATTTTATCATAGCTGATTTTAGAAGGGAATTTAATTCAATTGTTGACAGTTGATTTATTTTAATAAAACAAAACTATTTTTAAGTCTTAAAAAAAAAAAAAATCGTATAAAAGTCTGAAGAGGTAGAAAGCAGAGTAATGTAGTGCAGATCAGACACCCTTTTTACAACCTTTGTGATCCTTTTTGTATTAAAATAATAACATTAAGAGTTTTCAGATTTTACAAACCACCAAAACACCTCAGACATTTAATAAGACTTTTGAGCTGTGATCATCATTCACTGATTATTTTTCTCCCTTTACAGCTGGAGCACTTGTGTGTAAAACTTGCACAGATCCACAGTGTTCAAGCACGATACCACTAACGTGTTCCTCAGAGACAATGTGTATTACAGCTTCCATTAGAGGTAGGCATTCCTTTATGTCATCTATTACCCTTCAGTGAAATACGTGTACTGTAAAGTTCTTGCCGTCAACATTAACAACAACATTGTACTTGGATTTTGTAGCTACTTCATCTGGAACCCCAGGCCAGCAACTCTTCAAGGCTTGTGCATCGTCCTCCCTGTGTCCAGCCGCAGGCTCTCAGACATTTTCAGTCAACTTGGGAGTTGCGAGTGCACTTGCATCTGCGACGTGCTGCAACACAGATAACTGCAACTCAGTAACTCCACTATGTAAGTATATGGATAAATATCTTGTGAAAGAACAATGATATATTACTATGGATAAGTGGTACAACCTTGATGTGCTCTCTTCCTCAAATTAATGATGTTGTTTTTTTCTGTTTCAGGCCCTGCTACTCCAGCAGATAACAGCCTAAAGTGTAACTATTGTAACCCCATGACCTCTCAATGCACTAGTCCATTACAATGTAAGGGATCGGAGGACCGCTGCTTTCAAGCGACTGGTGAGTCTTTATTTTTTACTTTGAAGTTTGACTCCAACTAAGTATTTCAAATAATTTACTGGGTGTAAGATCTGGAAAATCAAGTACATTTTTCTCAACCTATGTACAATTTTGTGGTGCTTTCACTCTTGCTCCACTACATTTCAGAGGTATATTGTACATTAATTAGATTATTACTTATTTATGACTATAAATGTAATGTAGTGAAGATTTATAATAATAAATTAGTAATAATCCAATAATAAAATATATATAATGATAAAATACTCTGACAGACACCATTCTTCATAATTCTGAATGTAACTTTACTTTTACTTTTGACACTTTAACGATATTTTTCTCAAAATACTCAAGTACTTCTTTCATAGAAGATTTGCATTTGTCAGAGTATATTTACATTGTGGTATTGCTTACAAACAACAGCAATTTAGTTCGTCAAGTAAAATAGTGATTCTTCTCACAGTGACAGATGGGTCCACAACATCTCCGGCCTTTGGCTGTGCATCTGCAAACCTGTGTGCAGCTGCTACCAGCCTGGGTAGCCTACCTTTCATGCAAAATGTTGGTAACATTAGCAGCGGACCTTCCTGTTGTGGAACCAGTTTGTGTAATACTGTCACAACAACTGCCGCCCCAACGACAACAACAACAACTGCCGCCCCAACAACAGTGGCAGCCATGACAACTACAACTGCCGCAACAACAACTGCAGCCCCAACTACAGCTGCAGCACCAACAACAACTGCCACACCGACAACAACAACTGCTGTCCCAACAACAACTGCAGCACCAACGACAATGGCCACACCGACAACAACAACTTCTGCCCCAACAACAACTGCAGCCCCAACAACAACTGCTGGCCCAACAACAACTACTGCTCAAACAACAACTGCCGCCCCAACAACAACTGCAGCCCTAACAACAACAACTGCTGCCCCAACAACAACTGCCGCCACAACAACAACTGCTGCAGAAACAACTACTGCCACCCCAACAACATCTTCCTCCCCAACAACGACTGCCGCCCCTACAACAACAACAGTCCCAACTACATCTGCAGCACCAACAACAACCGCCACACCGACAACAACAACAACTGATGCCCCAACATCAACTACTGCCCCAACTACAACTGCTGCCCCAACAACAACCGCCACTCCGACAACAACAACTGCTGCCCCAACAACAACAACTGCAGCCCCAACTACATCTGCAGCACCAATAAAAACCGCCACACCGACAACAACAACTGATGCCCCGACTACAACTGCGGCCCCAACAACAACCGCCACACCGACAACAACAACTGCTGCACCAACAACAACAACTGCTGCCCCAACAACAACTGCCATAACAACAACAACTGCTGCAGAAACAACGACTGCCACCCCAACAACATCTGCCTCCCCAACAACAACCGCCACACCGACAACAACAACTGATGCCCCAACATCAACTGCTGCCCCAACTACACCTGCAGCACCAACAAAAACGGCCACTCCAACAACAACAACTGCTGCCCCAACAACAACAACTGCTGCCCAAACAAAAACTGCCGCCCCAACAACAACTGCAGCCCCAACAACAACCGCCAAAATGACAACAACAACTGCTGCACCAACAACAACTGCTGCCCCAACACCAACAGCTGCTGCCACAAAAACGACTGCCGCCCCAACAACAACAACAGTCCCAACTACATCTGCAGCACCAACAACAACCGCAACACCGACAACAACAACAACTGATGCCCCAACATCAACTACTGCCCCAACTACACCTGCAGCACCAACAACAACTGCTGCCCCAACAACAACTGCAGCCCCAACAACAACCGCCACACCGACAACAACAACTGCTGCCCCAACAACAACAACTGCTGCCCAAACAACAACCGCCACACTGACAACAACAACTGCTGCACAAACAACAACTGCCACACCGACAACAACAACTGCTGCCCCAACAACAACTGCCGCAACAACAACTATTGCAGCCCCAACTACACCTGCAGCACCAACAACAACTGCCACCCCAACTACAACTGCAGAACCAACAACAACTGCAGCACCAACAACAACAGCTGCCGCCCCAACAACAACTTCTGCCCCAACAACATCTGCGGCCCCAACAACAACTGCTACCCCAACAACAACAACTGCAGCCCCAACTACATCTGCAGCACCAACAAAAACCGCCACACCGACAACAACAACAACTGATGCCCCAACATCAACTACTGCCCCAACTACAACTGCAGCCCCAACAACAACTGCCACACAGACAACAACAACTGCTGCCCCAACAACAACAACTGCTGCCCAAACAACAACCGCCACACCGACAACAACAACTGCTGCACCAACAACAACAACTGAAGCCCCGACTACATCTGCAGCCCCAACAACAACCGCCACACCGACAACAACAACTGCTGCACCAACAACAACAACTGCTGCCCCAACAACAACTGCCGTAACAACGACAACTGCTGCAGAAACAACGACTGCCACCCCAACAACATCTGCCTCCCCAACAACGACTGCCGCCCCAACAACAACAACAGTCCCAACTACATCTGCAGCACCAACAACAACCGCCACACCGACAACAACAACAGCTGATGCCCCAACATCAACTGCTGCCCCAACTACACCTGCAGCACCAACAAAAACGGCCACTCCAACAACATCAACTACTGCCCCAACTACAACTGCAGCCCCAACAACAACCGCCACACAGACAACAACAACTGCTGCACCAACAACAACAACTGCTGCCCCAACAACAACTGCCGTAACAACAACTGCTGCAGAAACAACGACTGCCACCCCAACAACATCTGCCTCCCCAACAACGACTGCCGCCACAACAACAGTCCCAACTACATCTGCAGCACCAACAACAACTGCCACACCGACAACAACAACTGCTGTCCCAACAACAACTGCAGCAGCAACGACAATGTCCACACCGACAACAACAACAACTGATGCCCCAACATCAACTGCTGCCCCAACTACACCTGCAGCACCAACAAAAACGGCCACTCCAACAACAACAACTGCTGACCAAACAACAACTGCCGCCCCAACAACAACTGCAGCCCCAACAACAACCGCCACACTGACAACAACAACTGCTGCACCTACAACAACTGCTGCCCCAACACCAACAGCTGCTTCCACAACAACGACTGCCGCCCCAACAACAACAACAGTCCCAACTACATCTGCAGCACCAACAACAACCGCAACACCGACAACAACAACAACTGATGCCCCAACATCAACTGCTGCCCCAACTACACCTGCAGCACCAACAACAACTGCTGCCGCAACAACAACTGCAGCCCCAACAACAACCGCCACACCGACAAAAACAACTGCTGCACCAACAACAACAGCTGCTGCCCCAAAAACAACTACAGCCCCAACAACAACTGCAGCCCCAAATACAGCTGCAGCACCAACAACAACTGCCACATCGACAAAGACAACTGCTGTCCCAACAACAACTGCAGCACCAACGACAATGGCCACACCGACAACAACAACTGCTGGCCCAACAACAACTACTGCTCAAACAACAACTGCCGCCCCAACAACAACTGCAGCCCTAACAACAACAACTGCTGCCCCAACAACAACTGCCGCCACAACAACAACTGCTGCAGAAACAACTACTGCCACCCCAACAACATCTTCCTCCCCAACAACGACTGCCGCCCCTACAACAACAACAGTCCCAACTACATCTGCAGCACCAACAACAACCGCCACACCGACAACAACAACAACTGATGCCCCAACATCAACTACTGCCCCAACTACAACTGCTGCCCCAACAACAACCGCCACTCCGACAACAACAACTGCTGCCCCGACTACAACTGCGGCCCCAACAACAACTGCTACCCCAACAACAACAACTGCAGCCCCAACTACATCTGCAGCACCAACAAAAACCGCCACACCGACAACAACAACAACTGATGCCCCAACATCAACTACTGCCCCAACTACAACTGCAGCCCCAACAACAACCGCCACACAGACAACAACAACTGCTGCCCCAACAACAACAACTGCTGCCCAAACAACAACCGCCACACCGACAACAACAACTGCTGCACCAACAACAACAACTGCAGCCCCGACTACATCTGCAGCCCCAACAACAACTGCTGCAGAAACAACGACTGCCACCCCAACAACATCTGCCTCCCCAACAACAACTGCTGCACCAACAACAACAACTGCTGCCCCAACAACAACTGCCGTAACAACGACAACTGCTGCAGAAACAACGACTGCCACCCCAACAACATCTGCCTCCCCAACAACGACTGCCGCCCCAACAACAACAACAGTCCCAACTACATCTGCAGCACCAACAACAACCGCCACACCGACAACAACAACAGCTGATGCCCCAACATCAACTGCTGCCCCAACTACACCTGCAGCACCAACAAAAACGGCCACTCCAACAACATCAACTACTGCCCCAACTACAACTGCAGCCCCAACAACAACCGCCACACAGACAACAACAACTGCTGCACCAACAACAACAACTGCTGCCCCAACAACAACTGCCGTAACAACGACAACTGCTGCAGAAACAACGACTGCCACCCCAACAACATCTGCCTCCCCAACAACGACTGCCGCCACAACAACAGTCCCAACTACATCTGCAGCACCAACAACAACTGCCACACCGACAACAACAACTGCTGTCCCAACAACAACTGCAGCAGCAACGACAATGTCCACACCGACAACAACAACAACTGATGCCCCAACATCAACTGCTGCCCCAACTACACCTGCAGCACCAACAAAAACGGCCACTCCAACAACAACAACTGCTGACCAAACAACAACTGCCGCCCCAACAACAACTGCAGCCCCAACAACAACCGCCACACTGACAACAACAACTGCTGCACCTACAACAACTGCTGCCCCAACACCAACAGCTGCTTCCACAACAACGACTGCCGCCCCAACAACAACAACAGTCCCAACTACATCTGCAGCACCAACAACAACCGCAACACCGACAACAACAACAACTGATGCCCCAACATCAACTGCTGCCCCAACTACACCTACAGCACCAACAACAACTGCTGCCGCAACAACAACTGCAGCCCCAACAACAACCGCCACACTGACAACAACAACTGCTGCACAAACAACAACTGCCACACCGACAACAACAACTGCAGCCCCAACTACACCTGCAGCACCAACAACAACTGCCACCCCAATTACAACTGCAGAACCAACAACAACTGCAGCACCAACAACAACAGCTGCCGCCCCAACAACAACTTCTGCCCCAACAACAACTGCAGCCCCAACAACGACTGCTGCCCCAACAACAACCGCCACACCGACAACAACAACTGCTGCTCAAACAACAACTGCGGCCCCAACAACAACTGCTGCCCCAACAACAACAACTGCAGCCCCAACTACATCTACAGCACCAACAAAAACCGCCACACCGACAACAACAACAACAACTGATGCCCCAACATCAACTACTGCCCCAACTACAACTGCAGCCCCAACAACAACCGCCACACAGACAACAACAACTGCTGCACCAACAACAACAACTGCTGCCCCAACAACAACTGCCGTAACAACGACAACTGCTGCAGAAACAACGACTGCCACCCCAACAACATCTGCCTCCCCAACAACGACTGCCGCCCCAACAACAACAACAGTCCCAACTACATCTGCAGCACCAACAACAACCGCCACACTGACAACAACAACAACTGATGCCCCAACATCAACTGCTGCCCCAACTACACCTGCAGCACCAACAACAACTGCTGCCGCAACAACAACTGCAGCCCCAACAACAACCGCCACACTGACAACAACAACTGCTGCACAAACAACAACTGCCACACCGACAACAACAACTGCAGCCCCAACTACACCTGCAGCACCAACAACAACTGCCACCCCAATTACAACTGCAGAACCAACAACAACTGCAGCACCAACAACAACAGCTGCCGCCCCAACAACAACTTCTGCCCCAACAACAACTGCAGCCCCAACAACGACTGCTGCCCCAACAACAACCGCCACACCGACAACAACAACTGCTGCTCAAACAACAACTGCGGCCCCAACAACAACTGCTGCCCCAACAACAACAACTGCAGCCCCAACTACATCTACAGCACCAACAAAAACCGCCACACCGACAACAACAACAACAACTGATGCCCCAACATCAACTACTGCCCCAACTACAACTGCAGCCCCAACAACAACCGCCACACAGACAACAACAACTGCTGCCCCAACAACATCAACTGGTGCCCAAACAACAACCGCCACACCGACAACAACAACTGCTGCACCAACAACAACAACTGCTGCCCCAACAACAACTGCCGTAACAACGACAACTGCTGCAGAAACAACGACTGCCACCCCAACAACATCTGCCTCCCCAACAATGACTGCCGCCCCAACAACAACAACAGTCCCAACTACATCTGCAGCACCAACAACAACCGCCACACTGACAACAACAACAACTGATGCCCCAACATCAACTGCTGCCCCAACTACACCTGCAGCACCAACAAAAACGGCCACTCCAACAACAACAACTGCAGCCCCAACAACAATTACCGCAACAACAACTGCAGCCCCAACTACAGCTGCAGCACCAACAACAACTGCCACACCGACAACAATAACTGCTGTCCCAACAACAACTGCAGCACCAACGACAATGTCCACACCGACAACAACAACTTCTGCCCCAACAACAACTGCAGCCCCAACAACAACTGCCGCCCCAACAACAACTGCCGCCCCAACAACAACTGCTGCTCAAACAACAACTGCGGCCCCAACAACAACTGCTGCCCCAACAACAACAACTGCAGCCCCAACTACATCTGCAGCACCAACAACTGATGCCCCAACATCAACTGCTGCCCCGACTACAACTGCAGCCCCAACAACATGCTGCACCAACAACAACAACTGCTGCCCCAACAACAACAACAGTCCCAACTACATCTGCAGCACCAACAACAACCGCCACACCGACAACAACAACAACTGATGCCCCAACATCAACTGCTGCCCCAACAAAAACCGCCACACCGACAACAACAACAACTGATGCCCCAACATCAACTGCTGCCCCGACTACAACTGCAGCCCCAACAAGAACCGCCACACCGACAACAACAACTGCTGCACCAACAACAACAACTGCTGCCCAAACAACAACAACAGTCCCAACTACATCTGCAGCACCACCAACAACTGCCACACCGACAACAACAACAACTGATGCCCCAACATCAACTGCTGCCCCAACTACACCTGCAGCACCAACAAAAACGGCCACTCCAACAACAACAACTGCAGCCCCAACAACAACTACCGCAACAACAACTGCAGCCCCAACTACAGCTGCAGCAACAACAACAACTGCCACACCGACAACAACAACTGCTGTCCCAACAACAACTGCAGCACCAACGACAATGTCCACACCGACAACAACAACTTCTGCCCCAACAACAACTGCAGCCCCAACAACAGCTGCTGGCCAAACAACTGCCGCCCCAACAACAACTGCTACTCCAACAACAACTGCGGCCCCAACAAAAACTGCTGCCCCAACAACAACAACTGCAGCCCCAACTACATCTGCAGCACCAACAACTGATGCCCCAACATCAACTGCTGCCCCGACTACAACTGCAGCCCCAACAACAACCGCCACACAGACAACAACAACTGCTGCCCAAACAACAACTGCCGCCCCAACAACAACTGCAGCCCCAACAACAACTGCCACACCGACAACAACAACTGCTGCACTAACAACAACAACTGCTGCTCCAACAACAACTGCTGCAGAAACAACAACTGCAGCCCTGACGAAAACAACTGCTGCCCCAACAACAACCGCCACACCGACAACAACAGCTGCCGCCCCAACAACAACTGCAGCCCCAACAACAACTTCAGCCCCAACTACATCTGCAGCACCAATAACAATGGCCACACCGACAACAACTGCGGCCCCAACAACAACAGCTGCCGCCACAACAAAAACTGCAGCCCCAACAACAACGGCTGCTGCCCCAACAACAACTGCTGCCCCAACAACAACTGCTGCCCCAACAACAACTGCAGCACAAACAACAATGGCCGCACCGACAACAAAAACTGCTGCCCCAACAACAACTACAGCCCAAACGGCAAAAAATGTTGCCGCCCGTCAACAACTGCCGCCCCAACTACAACTGCAGCAACAACAACAACGGCTGCCGCCCCCAACAATGACTGCTGCAACAACAACAACCGCCACACCGACAACAACAACTGCTGCCCCAACAACAACGGCTGCTGCCCAATTAACAACTGCTGCCCCAACAACAACCGCGACACCGACAACAACAGCTGCCGCCCCAACAACAACTGCAGCCCCAACAACAACAACTGCTGTCCCAACAACAACTGCAGCACCAACGACAATGGCCACACCGACAACAACAACTGCAGCCCCAACAACAACGGCTGCTGACCCAACAACAACTGCAGCCCTTACAACAACAACTGCCGCCCCAACAACGGCTGCTGCCCAAACGAGAGCAACTGCAGCACCAACAACAACTGCCACCCCAACAACAACGGCTGCCGCCCCAACTACAGCAATTGCAGCACCAACATCAACTGCCGCCCCAACTACACCTGCAGCACCAACAAAAACGGCCACTCCAACGACTGCAGCCCCAACAACAACTTCTGCCCCAACAACAACAACTGCCGCCCCAACAACAACTGCTGCAGAAACAACAACAACTGCAGCCCTGACGACAACAACTGCTGCCCCAACAACAACGGCCACACCGACAACAACAGCTGCCGCCCCAACAACAACGGCTGTTGACCCAACAACAACTGCAGCCCCAACAACGGCTGCTGCCCAAACAAGAGCAACTGCAGCACCAACAACAACTGCCACCCCAACAACAACGGCAGCCTCCCCAACGACAGCAATTGCAGCACCAACAACAACTGCCGCCCCAACAACAACTGCAGCCCCTACAACTGCCGCAACAACAACTGCAGCCCCAACTACATCTGCAGCACCAACAACTGCCACACCGACAACAACAACTGCTGCCCCAACAACAACTACTGTCCCGACAACAACTGCAGCACCAACAACGACTGCTGCCCCAACAACAACCGCCACACAGACAACAACAACTGCTGCCCCAACAACAACAACTGCTGCCCAAACAACAACCGCCACACCGACAACAACAACTGCTGCACCAACAACAACAACTGCAGCCCCAACTACATCTGCAGCACCAATAAAAACCGCCACACCGACAACAACAACTGATGCCCCAACATCAACTGCTGCCCCAACTACACCTGCAGCACCAACAACAACTGCTGCCGCAACAACAACTGCAGCCCCAACAACAACCGCCACACCGACAACAACAACTGCTGCCCCAACAACAACAACTGCTGCCCAAACAACAACTGCCACACTGACAACAACAACTGCTGCACAAACAACAACTGCCACACCGACAACAACAACTGCTGCCCCAACAACAACTGCCGCAACAACAACTATTGCAGCCCCAACTACACCTGCAGCACCAACAACAACAGCTGCCGCCCCAACAACAACTTCTGTCCCAACAACAACTGCAGCCCCAACAACGACTGCTGCCCCAACAACAACCGCCACACCGACAACAACAACTGCTGCTCAAACAACAACTGCGGCCCCAACAACAACTGCAGCCCCAACTACATCTACAGCACCAACAAAAACCGCCACACCGACAACAACAACAACAACTGATGCCCCAACATCAACTACTGCCCCAACTACAACTGCAGCCCCAACAACAACCGCCACACAGACAACAACAACTGCTGCCCCAACAACATCAACTGCTGCCCAAACAACAACCGCCACACCGACAACAACAACTGCTGCACCAACAACAACAACTGCTGCCCCAACAACAACTGCCGTAACAACGACAACTGCTGCAGAAACAACGACTGCCACCCCAACAACATCTGCCTCCCCAACAATGACTGCCGCCCCAACAACAACAACAGTCCCAACTACATCTGCAGCACCAACAACAACCGCCACACTGACAACAACAACAACTGATGCCCCAACATCAACTGCTGCCCCAACTACACCTGCAGCACCAACAAAAATGGCCACTCCAACAACAACAACTGCAGCCCCAACAACAACTACCGCAACAACAACTGCAGCCCCAACTACAGCTGCAGCACCAACAACAACTGCCACACCGACAACAACAACTGCTGTCCCAACAACAACTGCAGCACCAACGACAATGTCCACACCTACAACAACAACTTCTGCCCCAACAACAACTGCAGCCCCAACAACAACTGCTGGCCCAACAACAACTGCCGCCCCAACAACAACTGCTGCTCAAACAACAACTGCGGCCCCAACAACAACTGCTGCCCCAACAACAACAACTGCAGCCCCAACTACATCTGCAGCACCAACAACTGATGCCCCAACATCAACTGCTGCCCCGACTACAACTGCAGCCCCAACAACTGCTGCACCAACAACAACAACTGCTGCCCCAACAACAACAACAGTCCCAACTACATCTGCAGCACCAACAACAACCGCCACACCGACAACAACAACAACTGATGCCCCAACATCAACTGCTGCCCCAACAAAAACCGCCACACCGACAACAACAACAACTGATGCCCCAACATCAACTGCTGCCCCGACTACAACTGCAGCCCCAACAAGAACCGCCACACCGACAACAACAACTGCTGCACCAACAACAACAACTGCTGCCCAAACAACAACAACAGTCCCAACTACATCTGCAGCACCACCAACAACTGCCACACCGACAACAACAACAACTGATGCCCCAACATCAACTGCTGCCCCAACTACACCTGCAGCACCAACAAAAACGGCCACTCCAACAACAACAACTGCAGCCCCAACTACAGCTGCAGCAACAACAACAACTGCCACACCGACAACAACAACTGCTGTCCCAACAACAACTGCAGCACCAACGACAATGTCCACACCGACAACAACAACTTCTGCCCCAACAACAACTGCAGCCCCAACAACAGCTGCTGGCCAAACAACTGCCGCCCCAACAACAACTGCTACTCCAACAACAACTGCGGGCCCAACAAAAACTGCTGCCCCAACAACAACAACTGCAGCCCCAACTACATCTGCAGCACCAACAACTGATGCCCCAACATCAACTGCTGCCCCGACTACAACTGCAGCCCCAACAACAACCGCCACACAGACAACAACAACTGCTGCCCAAACAACAACTGCCGCCCCAACAACAACTACAGCCCCAACAACAACTGCCACACCGACAACAACAACAACTGCTGCACTAACAACAACAACTGCTGCTCCAACAACAACTGCTGCAGAAACAACAACTGCAGCCCTGACGAAAACAACTGCTGCCCCAACAACAACCGCCACACCGACAACAACAGCTGCCGCCCCAACAACAACTGCAGCCCCAACAACAACTTCAGCCCCAACTACATCTGCAGCACCAATAACAATGGCCACACCGACAACAACTGCGGCCCCAACAACAACAGCTGCCGCCACAACAAAAACTGCAGCCCCAACAACAACGGCTGCTGCCCCAACAACAACTGCTGCCCCAACAACAACTGCAGCACAAACAACAATGGCCGCACCGACAACAAAAACTGCTGCCCCAACAACAACTACAGCCCAAACGGCAAAAAATGTTGCCGCCCCGTCAACAACTGCCGCCCCAACTACAACTGCAGCAACAACAACAACGGCTGCCGCCCCAACAATGACTGCTGCAACAACAACAACCGCCACACCGACAACAACAACTGCTGCCCCAACAACAACGGCTGCTGCCCAATTAACAACTGCTGCCCCAACAACAACCGCGACACCGACAACAACAGCTGCCGCCCCAACAACAACTGCAGCCCCAACAACAACAACTGCTGTCCCAACAACAACTGCAGCACCAACGACAATGGCCACACCGACAACAACAACTGCAGCCCCAACAACAACGGCTGCTGACCCAACAACAACTGCAGCCCTTACAACAACAACTGCCGCCCCAACAACGGCTGCTGCCCAAACGAGAGCAACTGCAGCACCAACAACAACTGCCACCCCAACAACAACGGCTGCCGCCCCAACTACAGCAATTGCAGCACCAACATCAACTGCCGCCCCAACTACACCTGCAGCACCAACAAAAACGGCCACTCCAACGACTGCAGCCCCAACAACAACTTCTGCCCCAACAACAACTGCCGTCCCAACAACAACTGCTGCAGAAACAACAACAACTGCAGCCCTGACGACAACAACTGCTGCCCCAACAACAACGGCCACACCGACAACAACAGCTGCCGCCCCAACAACAACTGCAGCCCCAACAACAACAACAGCTGTCCCAACAACAACTGCAGCACCAACGACAATGGCCACACCGACAACAACAACTGCAGCCCCAACAACAACGGCTGTTGACCCAACAACAACTGCAGTCCTTACAACAACAATTGCCACCCCAACAACAACGGCAGCCTCCCCAACGACAGCAATTGCAGCACCAACAACAACTGCCGCCCCAACAACAACTGCAGCCCCTACAACTGCCGCAACAACAACTGCAGCCCCAACTACATCTGCAGCACCAACAACTGCCACACCGACAACAACAACTGCTGCCCCAACAACAACTACTGTCCCAACAACAACGACTGCTGCCCCAACAACAACTGCCACACAGACAACAACAACTGCTGCCCCAACAACAACAACTGCTGCCCAAACAACAACCGCCACACCGACAACAACAACTGCTGCACCAACAACAACAACTGCAGCCCCAACTACATCTGCAGCACCAATAAAAAACGCCACACCGACAACAACAACTGATGCCCCAACATCAACTGCTGCCCCGACTACAACTGCAGCCCCAACAACAACCGCCACACCGACAACAACAACTGCTGCACCAACAACAACAACTGCTGCCCCAACAACAACTGCCATAACAACGACAACTGCTGCAGAAACAACGACTGCCACCCCAACAACATCTGCCTCCCCAACAACAACCGCCACACCGACAACAACAACAACTGATGCCCCAACATCAACTGCTGCCCCAACTACACCTGCAGCACCAACAAAAACGGCCACTCCAACAACAACAACTGCTGCCCCAACAACAACAACTGCTGCCCAAACAACAACTGCCGCCCCAACAACAACCGCCACACCGACAACAACAACTGCTGCACCAACAACAACTGCTGCCCCAACACCAACAGCTGCTGCCACAAAAATGACTGCCGCCCCAACTACATCTGCTGCAGCACCAACAACAACCGCAACACCGACAACAACAACAACTGATGCCCCAACATCAACTACTGCCCCAACTACACCTGCAGCACCAACAACTGCTGCCCCAAAAACAACTGCAGCCCCAACAACAACCGCCACACCGACAACAACAACTGCTGCCCCAACAACAACAACTGCTGCCCAAACAACAACCGCCACACTGACAACAACAACTGCTGCACAAACAACAACTGCCACACCGACAACAACAACTGCTGCCCCAACAACAACTGCCGCAACAACAACTATTGCAGCCCCAACTACACCTGCAGCACCAACAACAACTGCCACCCCAACTACAACTGCAGAACCAACAACAACTGCAGCACCAACAACAACAGCTGCCGCCCCAACAACAACTTCTGCCCCAACAACAACTGCAGCCCCAACAACAACTGCGGCCCCAACAACAACTGCTACCCCAACAACAACAACTGCAGCCCCAACTACATCTGCAGCACCAACAACAACCGCCACACCGACAACAACAACAACTGATGCCCCAACATCAACTACTGCCCCAACTACAACTGCAGCCCCAACAACAACCGCCACACAGACAACAAAAACTGCTGCCCCAACAACAACAACTGCTGCCCAAACAACAACCGCCACACCGACAACAACAACTGCTGCACCAACAACAACAACTGCAGCCCCAACTACATCTGCAGCACCAATAAAAAACGCCACACCGACAACAACAACTGATGCCCCAACATCAACTGCTGCCCCGACTACAACTGCAGCCCCAACAACAACCGCCACACCGACAACAACAACTGCTGCACCAACAACAACAACTGCTGCCCCAACAACAACTGCCATAACAACGACAACTGCTGCAGAAACAACGACTGCCACCCCAACAACATCTGCCTCCCCAACAACAACCGCCACACCGACAACAACAACAACTGATGCCCCAACATCAACTGCTGCCCCAACTACACCTGCAGCACCAACAAAAACGGCCACTCCAACAACAACAACTGCTGCCCCAACAACAACAACTGCTGCCCAAACAACAACTGCCGCCCCAACAACAACAACAGTCCCAACTACATCTGCAGCACCAACAACAACCGCCACACCGACAACAACAACAACTGATGCCCCAACATCAACTGCCGCCCCAACTACACCTGCAGCACCAACAAAAACGGCCACTCCAACAACATCAACTACTGCCCCAACTACAACTGCAGCCCCAACAACAACCGCCACACAGACAACAACAACTGCTGCCCCAACAACAACAACTACTGCACCAACAACAACAACTGCTGCCCCAACAACAACTGCCGTAACAACGACAACTGCTGCAGAAACAACGACTGCCACCCCAACAACATCTGCCTACCCAACAACGACTGCCGCCCCAACAACAACAACAGTCCCAACTACATCTGCAGCACCAACAACAACCGCCACACCGACAACAACAACAACTGATGCCCCAACATCAACTGCTGCCCCAACTACACCTGCAGCACCAACAAAAACGGCCACACCAACAACAACAACTGCAGCCCCAACAACAACTACCGCAACAACAACTGCAGCCCCAACTACAGCTGCAGCACCAACAACAACTGCCACACCGACAACAACAACTGCTGTCCCAACAACAACTGCAGCACCAACGACAATGTCCACACCGACAACAACAACTTCTGCCCCAACAACAACTGCAGCCCCAACAACAACTGCTGGCCCAACAACAACTGCTGGCCCAACAACAACTGCCGCCCCAACAACAACTGCTGCTCAAACAACAACTGCGGCCCCAACAACAACTGCTGCCCCAACAACAACAACTGCAGCCCCAACTACATCTGCAGCACCAACAACTGATGCCCCAACATCAACTGCTGCCCCAACTACAACTGCAGCCCCAACAACAACCGTCACACAGACAACAACAACTGCTGCCCCAACAACAACAACTGCTGCCCAAACAACAACCGCCACACAGACAACAACTGCTGCCCCAACAACAACAACTGCAGCCCCAACTACAACTGCAGCACCAACAAAAACCGCCACACCGACAACAACAACAACTGATGCCCCAACATCAACTGCTGCCCCAAGTACAACTGCAGCCCCAACAACAACCGCCACACCGACAACAACTGCTGCACCAACAACAACAACTGCTGCCCCAACAACAACAACAGTCCCAACTACATCTGCAGCACCAACAACAACCGCCACACCGACAACAACAACAACTGATGCCCCAACATCAACTGCTGCCCCAACTACAACTGCTGCAGAAACGACTGCCACCCCAACAACATCTGCCTACCCAACAACGACTGCCGCCCCAACAACAACAACAGTCCCAACTACATCTGCAGCACCAACAACAACCGCCACACCGACAACAATAACAACTGATGCCCCAACATCAACTGCTGCCCCAACTACACCTGCAGCACCAACAAAAACGGCCACTCCAACAACAACTGCAGCCCCAACAACAACTACCGCAACAACAACTGCAGCCCCAACTACAGCTGCAGCACCAACAACAACTGCCACACCGACAACAACAACTGTTGTCCCAACAACAACTGCAGCCCTGACGACAACAACTGCTGCCCCAACAACAACCGCCACACCGACAACAACAGCTGCCGCCCCAACAACAACTGCAGCCCCAACAACAACTTCAGCCCCAACTACATCTGCAGCACCAATAACAATGGCCACACCGACAACAACTGCGGCCCCAACAACAACAGCTGCCGCCACAACAAAAACTGCAGCCCCAACAACAACGGCTGCTGCCCCAACAACAACTGCTGCCCCAACAACAACTGCAGCACAAACAACAATGGCCGCAACGACAACAAAAACTGCTGCCCCAACAACAACTACAGCCCCAACGGCAAAAAATGTTGCCGCCCCGTCAACAACTGCCGCCCCAACTACAACTGCAGCAACAACAACAACGGCTGCCGCCCCAACAACGACTGCTGCAACAACAACAACCGCCACACCGACAACAACAACTGCAGCCCCAACAACAACGGCTGCTGACCCAACAACAACTGCAGCCCTTACAACAACAACTGCCGCCCCAACAACGGCTACTTCCCAAACGAGAGCAACTGCAGCACCAACAACAACTGCCACCCCAACAACAACGGCTGCCGCCCCAACTACAGCAATTGCAGCACCAACATCAACTGCCGCCCCAACTACACCTGCAGCACCAACAAAAACGGCCACTCCAACGACTGCAGCCCCAACAACAACTTCTGCCCCAACAACAACAACTGCCGCCCCAACAACAACTGCTGCAGAAACAACAACAACTGCAGCCCTGACGACAACAACTGCTGCCCCAACAACAACGGCCACACCGACAACAACAGCTGCCGCCCCAACAAAAACTGCAGCCCCAACAACAACAACTGCTGTCCCAACAACAAATGCAGCACCAACGACAATGGCCACACCGACAACAACAACTGCAGCCCCAACAACAACGGCTGTTGACCCAACAACAACTGCAGCCCTTACAACAACAACTGCCGCCCCAACAACGGCTGCTGCCCAAACAAGAGCAACTGCAGCACCAACAACAACTGCCACCCCAACAACAACGGCGGCCGCCCCAACGACAGCAATTGCAGCACCAACAACAACTGCCGCCCCAACAACAACTGCAGCCCCTACAACTGCCGCAACAACAACTGCAGCCCCAACTACATCTGCAGCACCAACAACTGCCACACCGACAACAACAACTGCTGCCCCAACAACAACTACTGTCCCAACAACAACTGCAGCACCAACAACGACTGCTGCCCCAACAACAACCGCCACACCGACAACAACAACTGCTGCCCCATCAACAACTACTGCTCAAACAACTGCGGCCCCAACAACAACAGCTGCCGCCACAACAACAACTGCTGCAGAAACAACGACTCCTGCCCCAACAACAACTGCCGCCCCAACAACAACTGATGCCCTAACTACAACTGCAGCACCAACAACAACTGCCATCCCAACTATGACTTCAGCCCAAACAACGACTGCTGCCCCAACAACGACTAAAGCCCCAGCAACGACTGCCGCCACAACAAGAACTGCCACACCGACAACAACAACTTCAGCCCTTACAACAACAACTGCCGCCCCAACAATGGCTGCCGCCCTAACGACAGCAACTACAGCACCAACAACAACTGCCACACCAACAACAACTTCAGCCCAAACAACGACTGCTGCCACAACAACAACTGCCGCAACAACTATTGCAGCCCCAACTACACCTGCAGCACCAACAAAAACGGCCACACCAACAACAACAACTGCTGCCCCAACAACAACTGCAGCCCCAACAACGACTGCTGCCACATCAACAACCGCCACACCGACAACAACAACTGCTGCCCCAACAACTGCTGCCCCAAAAACAACTGCCGCAGAAACAACAACAACTGCAGCCCTGACGACAACAACTGCTGCCCCAACAACAACCGCCAAACCGACAACAACAGCTGCCGCCCCAACAACCACTGCAGCCCCAACAACAACTGCTGCCCCAACAACAACTGCTGCCCAACAACAACTGCAGCACCAACAACAATGGCCACACCGACAACAACAACTTCTGCCCCAACAACAACTGCAGCCCCAACAACGACTGCTGCCCCAACAACAACCGCCACACCGACAACAACTGCTGCCCGTACAACAACTACTGCTCAAACAACAACTGCGGCCCCAACAACAACAGCTGCCGCCACAACAACAACTGCCAAAACACACTGCCGCCCCAACACGCCCCCCAACAACGACTGCCGCCCCAACAACAACTGCAGCCCCAACAACAACAGCTGCTGCCCCAACAACAACTACCACCCCAACAACAACTGCAGCACCAACAACAATGGCCACACTGCCAACAACAACTGCTGCCCCAACGGAAACAAATGCTGCCGCCCCGTCAACAACTGCCGCCCCAACAACAACTGATGCCCCAACTACAACTGCAGCACCAACAACAATGGCTGCCGCCCCAACAACAACTGCAGCCCTGACGAAAACAACTGCTGCCCCAACAATAACCGCCACACCAACAAAAACTGCTGCTGCAACAACAACTGCCACCCAAACTGCTGCCCCGACTGCTGCCCCAACAACAACAACTGCAGCCCCAACGACAACAACTGCAGCACCAACAACAACAACTGCAGCCCCAACGACAACAACCGCAGCACCAAAAACAACTGCCGCCCCAACAACTGCAGCCCCAACAACAACTGCTGCTGCAACAACAACTGCCATCCCAACAACAATTGCTGCCGCAACAACAACCGCCACACCGACAACAACAACTGCTGCCCCAACAACAACAACTGCTGCCCCAAAAACAACTGCCGCAGAAACAACAACAAATGCAGCCCTGACTGTTGTTGTCGCCACACCGACAACAACAGCCCCAACGGCGACTGCAGCCCCGACGACAACAACTACTTCCTCAACAACAACGACTGCTGCCCCAACCACAACAATAGCAACTGCTGCCCCGACTGCTGCCTCAACAACGACTTCTGCCCCAACAACAACT